CTGTCCTCTCCTCTGCCCACGGTCATCAGTGAGCACCAGGGACGGGCTTTCCAGCTGCACCCGGGGCTCCTCCTGCTCACAGGAGCTGCCTGGCCGCCTCCACCTGTGACGATGCACGCCCCCACCCCAGTGAGTGAGTTTCCAGGGCCCGCCCAGCTCTCCCTGTGAGGGTGCACTCCCCACACCATGAGTGGGTTCCTGGGGCCCCACCAGCTTCACCTGTGAGGGGTTTCCAGGGTCTCACCTGGCTCCACCTGTGAGGGTACACCCTCCCGCCCACACTGTGAGTGGCCACGTGAGTGGGTTCCTGGGGTCCCGTCTGTGATGTGCCACCCCACCCACGCTGTGAGCGGTGTCTGGGGCCCCACCCAGCTCCCATCTTCTCTCCTGCATTCTCTCTGCTGCTTGTCAGCAAAGCCGAGGTCACCCCGGGTTGGAAGGCGTACCCGGGATGCTGCTCAGACGTCCCGGCCGCTCTCCCACCCCCACCCCCCACCCCCGACTCCCGGTTTTCAGGATGAAATTGTCGTCAAATAAAGCCAGTCTTCAAGTCCGTTTGCAAGAGGAAGGAAGTTTGCTTCAGGCGCCTTATTTTGTTGGAACAAAGGGGTCTAAAGATAGACACATGGTCCCACCTCCCTGAACTGTCACATGGCCAGGAGCCAGGACCCGATTCTCTGTGAGGAGAGCTCGGCGGTGGGCTTCACCTGGGTATCCCCTGAGCCAACGGCACCTCTGCCCTTCCCGCCCGTCATCCCCGAGGTGACCAGAAGAGATCGGCCCTCCCAGGTGGGGCCGCTGCAGTCGGGCAGGGGCAGGCCTGGCCACCGCGCACTAGCCTCCCTGCCGCCTCTGCCCAGATGTGCAGGATGCAGGAAGTGACCCGCACGGCAGGGGAGTGGACGGGCAGCCTCCACCCGGCCTCGGACGTGAGACCCTCACCCTCGCTATCAGACCTGCCTCCGAGCTGTGGGGTCGTCACTGGGTGTTGGTTGGGGCAGGATGTCGTGCCACCTGGTACTCCCGCAGAGGAGCTGGGTGAGGGCGCTCGGCCTGGCCTGGGCTTGGGTGGCGAAGACGGGTGCGGGGCCCGTCACCTCCTGGGCTTCTGAGAGGATGGAGCGCCACAAGGCCACGCTCACCTGCCTGCTTCTCCCCGGGGACCCACCTCCTCCACCGGGGGCCACCCTGAGAGGATGGAGCGCCACAAGGCCACGCTCACCTGCCTGCTTCTCCCCGGGGACCCACCTCCTCCACCGGGGGCCACCCTGAGAGGATGGAGCGCCACGAGGCCACGCTCACCTGCCTGCTTCTCCCCGGGGACCCACCTCCTCCACCGGGGGCCACCCTTGTTCTTCTGTGAGCTTCTTAGTCTTATGGCTGCAAAATTAAGTCAATTGGAACTTTTTTTAAAATGTGGTCATAAGTGCAGAATTTCCCATCATTCTTGAGTGGATTCAAAAAACCAGGAACAGTGACGACTTACACATGTGAACGACAGAAACACCTACGGCCCTGCATATACCAGCGCCCTGGCTGCCAACGGTGTGTTGAGGAGCAGCAAAAGGCCAGCACTCTGATGGTGTCAGAGAGCATCCTTCGGCCTCTTCAGCTTCACGCAGTGGCCGGTGACCACTTCAGATGCAGTGGTTTTTTTTTTCTTTTTCTCTTTTTGAAGACGGAATCTTGCTTTGCTGCCAGGCTGGAGTGCAGTGGTGAGATCTCGGCTCACTGCGACCTCCATCTCCTGGGTTCAAGCAATTCTCCTGCCTCAGCCTCCCCAGCAGCTGGGATTACAGGCTGGCATCACCATGCTCAGCTAATTTTTGCATTTTTAGTAGAGACGGACTTTCACCGTGTTGGCCAGGATGGTCTCAACTGATCTCATGATCCCCCCACCTCAGCCTCCCAAAGTGCTGGAATTCTAGGCGTCAGCCACCACACCCGGCCTGTGATTTTTTAGAGTTTATCTGTATGAGCTTGCCCGTGTGCAGTTTCTGATCATGCAGAGGGGGAACCCTGCTTTTCAAACCCAGAATGAGGCATTTGATCTAAGGTATAATATTTAGAATTTGTCCTGGCCCAAGGAGTCCAGAGGCGCCAGGCACCACCAGCAGGTGGATGCGGCAGTGTGGACAGGCAGTGTAGATGGTGAACAGGCAGTGTGGACAGTGGATAGGCGGTATGGATGGGGGACAGGTGGTGTGGATAGTGGCAGGCAGTCTGGACGGTGGCAGGTGGTGTGGATGGTGGCAGGAGGTGTGGACGGTGGACAGGGCGGCGTGGACGGTGGACAGACGGCGTGGACAGTGGACAGGCGGTGTGGACAGTGGACAGGTGGTATGGATGGTGGATTTGTGGTGCTTCGAACCCTGTGGGCCTGTGACACCCAGAGAGTGGGAGCCCACGTGTGAGGGGTTGGGGCCTCGGCACTGGATTCCACAGGCTGCTCTGAGAAAGCCCCCCTCCCTTCCTCCGCTTCGTTAGCAGGGAGAGCTGCTGGGCTGGGCCCTGTGGGGAGGGGGCCGAGCCAAGCCTGGTCCCTGCAGTCTTGAGTAGGGGCTTGCAGGCACCCATGGAGCGTGCAGGATGCCGGGAGGGCCCCTGGCTGGCAGAAGGTCCTCTCTAAGGTGGCGTTTCCATAGGAAATAGAGTGGGGTCAGAATGGCCACAGAGGGGCCTCTGAGCAATGGCTCCCGGCCTGAACCTCACCTGTCTGAGGAACTCTGAGTGTGTGGCCAGCCCCTGGAGGGGGTACAAGGAGGCCCCTGTGGACAGCCTGTCCCAGAGGCTGCTTCCACTTCACGCACCACTCTCCAGACCTGGAGGGGCGGTGGGCGGTGTCTGTCCATCTCTAACACACAGGAAAGATGTCCACTGTCAGCAGGGCCCCAGAGCAGGTGTGGGCGAGGTCCAGAGCTGCGTTAGGAGTGCCCGAGCTGTCAGGGAACACACCGCCCGCCTCCTGGAGCTGCCACAGTGGAGTCTGGGAGTCATTGTGGAAATGTCCATTCGATGCCTGACGCGCGGTCGATGGCGTCCGGAGGCTGAAGTGTGGAGGGAAGACATGGGTGACTGCTTCCCTGATCGTGGCCAGGCCCCAGTGAGCCCAGCCGCCAGCCTCCTGCAGCCGCCACCGGCCATGGCAGCCCCTGTCCACGCTGACCCCTGTGACTGACCTGCCAGCTCACAGTGGCACAGTCTTTTTGGTAGCCCCCGGAATTTCTCAAAACTCCAGGGAGAGCCTTCCCCGTGGGCCGCGTCAGCCGTGCGCTTCTCCAGGGTGAGCAGGCGCTGGACTGAGGAAGGCACCTCCTGGTTTCCTCTCTGAGGCTGCAGCTGCTCCTGGTGAGAGAGAAAAACGCAATGTAAAATCTGAATGTTCAGCTGTGCATTCGAGGCTGCTGTCAGCTGCAGCAGACGCAGGCTGTACAGAGAGGTGCGCACCGGTGGGGGTCACCTCGCCCGGAGTGCACAAGAGTATTTCACACTTTACTGCTGTGACTGTTTCTGTCCTTCTCCCACAAAATAAGCCATTGCTGAGACGTGGCTGCGTACTGGGAACAGATCTGTGCCCTGAGCTCTCCCTGCAAGGCTCAGTGGAAGGGCCTCAACATCGGCGTGGCTCGGGCAGCCCCGTGACGCCATGGCCCCGCTGCTCTGTCACCAGCACTGGGGTTGTCCCCAGCCTGGAGGCAAACCAGCCCGGTAGCAGGCAGGGCCACAGCTGCCACAGCCCAGGAGGGGCCCCCGTGGGTTCCCTGAGTCCTGTGTTTACACTTGCTCAGTCTGCAAGACTGGAGGAGCAGGATTTAAGCCTGATGCCAGGTCGATATCTCTCGGCCTCCACTAGTAACTTCCAGATACAAACACCTCTCAGACCCATATCTTCAGGCTGTGGGCAGCCTGGGTCCTCAGGTGCAGAAGAATGGAGTGTTTAAGTCATTCTCAGGCCATCAGCGTGAGTCCCGCATCTTAGAGGGAAATTGAGTGGCTGTTCAGGTGCAAATGTGTCTGTGTGATGAGAGCACTGGCCAGAAATCGCGTCTGCTCCGGGTCAGTGTCCCCAAGGCACAGGCACCTGGCACCCGCTCTGAGACTGCCAGCCTAGCAGTCCGCACAGCTTTCCCTGGAGGGTCTTGCTGACCCCATGCTCCCGGCCGGCGCTGACCCTGTGCTCCCTGCCAGTGCTGGCCCTGTGCTCCCGGCTGATGCTGGCCCTGTGCTCCCGGCCGGTGCTGGCCTCGTGCTCCCAGTCGGTGCTGACCCTGTGCTCCTGGCCGGTGCTGACCCTCCCCGTGCTCCTGGCCAGTGCTGAGCCTGTGCTCCCTGCGGGTGCTGACCCTCCCCGTGCTCCCGGCCAGTGCTGACCCGGTGGCTGCAGGTGCTGCAGTACATCCAGACCCCTCTGGAACCTGCTGCATGTGGGGATGGATGTGGGGGTTGGCCCTGTCATTACCATCCTGTCTCATTTGTATCCAGCTAATGGTGAGACCAGAGGTATAGCACAGACGCCCGAGGGTCCCGTGTGTGCGGTGGCAGTGGCCTGGTCCTTGGCCAGGATTTCCTCATGGGCCGCAAGTTATTCCGCCTGCAACAGGTGCGGGCCAGGGATCATCTGAACGTGTTCCCCGACGTGGGTGAGACACAGGCCAAAGCAAAGTCATCCAAGGAGCCAGGACCCAGCCCTGTGCCGCTGCCCCCTGCCTCCCCTCTGCCCAGGGGTCTATCTTTGTCCCTCCCCCTCTCTGCCTCAATCTCTCTCTCTCTGAACCTCTTATACCGCACTATAAAAATTGATGGTGACTCACTCAACACGCAGCTTTTGTGCGCTGAGAAGCGAAAGGCCTCTCCGTATTGGAAACCGAAAAGCCTTTCTCCAGCCACACGACGCGGCTCCCGTAGGTGACAGTGGAAGTGCCGGCTCTGCATGGGATCGGTGGGCACTTGCGCTGGGGGCAGCTTCTCGGGCTGACGCGTGCTGTCTGTCATCCCCACAGATGAAATCATGCACCAGGACATCATCCCGCTCTGCGCTGCCGACATCCAGGACCAGCTAAAGAAGCGCTTTGCTTACCTGTCCGGTGAGTTCCTGGAAGCCGGGACAGGGTGGGGAGGGAGCGGTCTGGGGCCAGGTGTGGGCTGAGCAGCCCCCGTGGCCTGGGCTGGGCTGGAGCTGGGAAGGATCAGGTGAGGGCTGCTCGTTCACTGCCTTGGGTCTGACCTATGACCTGGAGGCTCTCCCCATATCTCTGTGCAGTGGGCGGCTCCATGCAGTTGGCACACGGCCACTGGGAGGAGGTGGGCAGAGGAAGGTCAGGGTCCCCAGCCGGACGTGGCCTGGGCACTACTGACCACGCCCTCCAGGGACAGATGTGAGTGGTGTGTGGGTGCTGAGCCCATGGGCTTCAGTGACTCGCAGTTCCTGCTGCATCCGGGCGCCTTCTGGCTGCTCTGGCCACCCTCACAGGCCACGCTCCGTCCACTGCAGCCTCCAGCCCTGCGTCTGGCCCACCTGTGGAAGGTGATGCCTGCAGCCATGGGGACACAGCGAGGCTCCCAGCCCCCCGTGTGGGTGCGGCAAGGGCGCCTGCAGTGGCTCTGAGCTGTGCAGACGCTGTTCTTATGTGAACAAATCTGCCCAACAGGACCCATCAGAAAAAAAACCCATACACATGCATGCCCTCCCTGGGCCATGAGGGTGCCCTGGCACTGAGGACGCAGTGCTCTTGGGAGTCAGCCTCTGCCCCTCTGCGTTCCGCCAGCAGCCCAGCCCCGACCCCGTGACTGGCATGGTGGGGGCCTCCATCCTGCACCTGCACCCCAGGCCGGGACTTGGAGTCTGGGGGAGGCTGACTGCCAGAGGCCGAAGTGCAGCTCATGGGTTTTTTCGAGAACGAAACTGAGGAGAGCTGTCCGGGGACGGGCCCTGCTTTCCGTGGTCTTGTGGCCCGGGAGGAGGAAGGGAGGAAGCGGGTAGTCTCCAAGAACTGAAAACTCCCAGGGGGCGAGGGCTCCAAGCTCCCTGCATCAGGGACCAGGCGCAGTGACGGCTCAGGAGAGGCACTGTGGTTTCTGCCAGTTCCTCCTGTGTCCTTAGCTCCCTTATCCCTTCCATGACTCCAGAGAGGCTCACGGCTTTGCCACGAGCAGGGAGCTGACCTAGGCCTCCAGCCTTGACCTTCCTCCAGATGCCAGGCTGTGCCCCTACCCAGCGATGCCTGGGAGGGCAGAGTCCCGCGACGGCCCCAGCCACCACTTTTTCTCAGTGGTTCCTCAGACACCACCCCAGGAGCTCTGTGAGGGCATCTTGCAGATGAATTTAAGGCTCCGAATCAGCTACTTTAAGATCTTCCTTGGTGGGCCAGACCCGCTCAGCCAAGCCCTTAAGAGATGTGCTCTTCCCGGCATGAGAGATTCCAGGTGCCGGAAGGATTTGACACCGGGAGTTCTCTGTGTGGCCCTGAAGGAAGCAGAGGCCACCTGACCAGGATAAGAGCCGCCCCATGGAGGAACCTGGAGCCTCGGCACTGCAGCTGGGAACAGAGCTCTGCCAAGCCCGTAGCGGGGAGCTGGAGGAATGGGGCTCAGAGACGATCGCAGCCCGGCGACCCTCCGCATGGACCTGGAGACCCCGAGCAGAGACCCGCATGCTGATCAGTGCCGGAGCGTCAGAGGTCCTGGGTGCCACACTGAAGTGGGCTCCTCTCCCTCCTGGAATAAAAGCCGGACTCCCCTGTGCCCCTGCTGCCCGCTCTCGTCTCCTGCCCACACCCTGGAGGCAGGCTGCCTCCCTGTCCCCTGCCTCGGGCCAGCGTCGGGCCTTTGCACGGCAGGCCTTCTCTCTGCAGCCCATTATTTCCACGGGGCTTGGGGCTGGCCCGTCCCCTCAGGCCCTTGCTCAGAGGCACACCCTTGGCCACACCCTCTCCCTCGTCGCCTGTGCTCTGCCACATACCCCTCGTTACGTGACCTTGTGTCTTCCTCTGTGTGGTGAGGGTCCCTCCTCAGGGCTGGGCTTGCTCACGGCTGCCCCCTGCCTCCCAGAGGTGCGTCCAGCTCAGAAGCCATGTCCTGATGGCTCAGCCACGAGCCCAGCTGGGGTGGAACCCCGTGCAGGCCAGGCTGTTCTCAGGATCCAGGTTGTAGCAGCAGTACCGCGTCTGAGACGGATCGGCGTCGGCTGGCGCTCCTCCTGCAGATGTGCCTGGGTTTGGATGAAGTCCTGTGTGTAGGTCCTCCAGTCACATCGCCTCCCCACCGCGTCCAGCACAGCTGCATCCTGAGGCTGCACCTGTGCTCTGGGTTCCTGCCATGAAACCCCCTTCTGTGTCCCCATGACACAGGCCACTGCACGGGGGACTGAAACGACAGGGGCTTCTCTCAGGTTCCGTCGGCTGCATCCCTTCCAGAGGCTCCTCCAGCTTTCGGGGCACGGGCGTTCCTTGGTGTCCCTCGGCATCTTCCTGCGGCCGCCTCGCCTGCAGGTAGCCCCTCTGCCTTTCTCCCAGGACACCTGTCACGACGTTTACGGCCCACCCTGCAATCCATTACGGCCTCATCTGGAGAACGGAGTTACCTCTGCACAGAATTTTCCAAATAAAGTCACGTTTTCAGGCTCCTGGCACCGAGCATGAAAAGGGGCCACCCTGGACTCAGGGTGAATCTGGCTCAGAGGTTTGCTGTCTTGACAGGCTGCCCTGAGCGGGGCTCCCCCGCCCCAACACCACCTGTGGGACTTGCCGTGTCACGCCACTTGAAGGGAACACAGAGTCCCCCGCCTGCCCGCCCCTGCACACCGACCACTGTGGTGGTGGGGCCCGGCCGGGTGAGGCCGCTCATCGTAGCTGGAGCCCACAGGCCGACCACCCCGCAGCCTGCTCCGTGGACTTTTGCTTAATTCCCGGGTCTTCCGGTGCCTGGAATGAAAAAGAACTAACGATGTCAGGAAGGAGCGGCTCCAAAGCTTCCCTTTCAAGAGGAGGCTCTGCGATGGGTTCTGCGTGTGCTGCTGACTTCCTCTCCCTGCGGACGCGTCTGCCGTGGAGCCACGGCTGCCTGTGACCTGTGCGGTCCCCTCTCTTCTGCCTCTGCTGTCTGCAGGTGCACAGGGGCCACGCAGACCCCCACAGCTCTGTCTACGTCCTGGTCCAAACCAGGCAGTTTCTGAAAGGCAGCCAAGCGAGGGGTGTCTCCGCCCTGGGGACTCTGAACTCCTACACGTGGCCACCCACAATTGGGACGAGCTTCGGACGTGGCCCCTGGAATCTGTCTGTCACCGCGACAGCGGCTCCCAGTCCAGCCTGCATCCTGCATCATCCACACCCTCTACCCCACAGTGACATCCGCCCTGAAAGCACCTCACTTAACCCAGAAGCCACAGGACATGTCACCCGACTGTCCCCTCTAGTTTTCTGAGATTTGGGGAACAAGGAATTGGGTGTAAAAGAGGAAATATGCTGCATGTAAATTCTTGATTGTTCTTGTCCTTCAGGGCAGAGCGACCCCCGAGAGTCAGCCGTTGGACTCTCTTGCTGAAGGCTGAGGGCTGGGGGCTGGGTGCCCCGAACCCAGAGGCAGAGGCGTGTTCCCTGCGTGGCAGTTGGAGCAGGGCCTGAGGAGGTCGTGGCCTCAGAACTCAGGCCTTGTGTCATCTCAGAAAAACGCTTCAACTTGCCGGCCGTCAGCAAGAGCTAAAAACAGGGCGGGAGGATTTACCTGTTGAGGAACTTATGGTCTGAAGTGAAAAACGCTGAGAACAGACTTGCCACCAGTGAAAACCACAAAGCTGAACGGAGGCTGTGCCAGCGCCAGGCGTCTCTCTCCCTGCCGTGGACGCGGCCCCCTCCCCGTGTCCGTGCAGCTCGGGGGAATTGCGTTTCGCTTTTACAAGAACGTGGCGTGATCAGAGGCAACGGTCCGGGCATCCAGGGACCTGGACTTGATGGGATTGTTCCATCCCAGGCCCGGGCAGCCTCTGGGGTGGAGACCCTGCCCCGGCCTGCGCCCTCTTCCCGGGAAGAACGCTGAAGACCCTTGTCTTGCCTCCTCACCTGCTGTGCAAGCCCCTCCCACCGGCCGTGCCCATCTCCCGGCCCGCGTCGGTTTGTCCCAGCTCGTGTCTCATCCTGAGGATGTAAGTGTCTGTGAGCCGAGCCACAGTTCTCAGATGAGCTGCAGGGCTCCAGTGTGGTGCTGCCCGGGCCGTCCTGAGAGAGGGCTTCGAATGGGGGCGGGACCCTGGGGTCTTCCTGGCACACGGTCTGAGGCTCCAGCCACCAGGCCCCAAGCTCACTCTGCACTCACCAAGGCCGGATGGCTGCTCCAGCCTGCGGGGACCGATTGTGCCCTCCCTGAGACCGGCGTCGCCCAAGCATCAGCCACAGACACGGGGTCCCCACCCATAGGGGTTCACCCTTATGGAGAGAAACAGAAATGGACAGAAGGTAGCAGGGGTGGCCCTGGGCGTTCTGCAGAGAATCAAGGCAGTGAGACAGCGACAGGAATCCCGGCAGGTGAGGGCGGAGCCGCGGGTTCTCCTTTCTGGACCCGCTTCAAGGAATCGATGTTTGCACAACGCCGAACCAATTGCTGTGGGACAAATGTTCGTGCCCCTCCAAGTTCAGAGTTTGAAACCCTAACCCGCGAGTGATGTTTTGGGGAGGTGAGGCCTGTGGGAGGAGATGAGCTCATGAAGGCGGAGCCCCAGGTGGGCTCAGTGCCTTTAGAAGGCGCTGAAGAGACCAGCTCTCCCTCCACGGCGCGGCCACACCGCCAGGAGGCAGACACCAAGGCTGCGGGCGCCTCGACCTTGCGCTTGCCTGGCTACAGCTGTGAGATTAATTTCTGATGTTTGAGTCACCCGGTCTATGGTGGCTGTTCTGGCTGCCCAGACAGACCAGCGAGCAACGTAGGTGAGGGTGTGAGTCACGCCGCGACTGTGGTGTTGACCAGCGAGCAACGTAGGCGAGGGTGTGAGTCACGCCGCGACTGTGGTGTTGACAAAGGCGCCCGTCCAGGTGCAGCCCCACGTCACATCGTGCCGTCCAGTTTCAGAATGTCACGCCTCCTTGATGCCGTCCCCACACTAACAGGAGGTTTTTATTTAGTTCTTAAGATTTTTCTACCCGACAGTCATCTTAGGACACAGGTGTCATAGTCAGTTAACCACGTGAATGTTTTCATTCCTAAGCAGCGCATGTGGGTATGAGTTTCTAAAGCCAGGTTTGGGCCGATGCATCAAAAAGAGGGACACCCTAAGACACATCATGTCCATGGACAAAATGAAGCTGGACATGTGTGTGAGTCATCACAGGCTTGGTTACCCGGCTTGGCCATCACACATGCCTCCTGCCCAGGATGTGTGCGGGCGTGCGTGTGTATGTGTGTGTGTGTCTACATGTGTGTCTCACCTCCCGCCCAAGATATGTGGGTGTGTGCCTTTGTGTGTGTGAGTGCGCGTGTGTTCACATGTGTGTCTCGCCTCCCGCCCGGGATGTATGTGTGTGCCTTTGTGTGTGTGCATGTGCGTGTGCATGTGTGTGTGTGTGTGTGTCTACATGTGTGTCTCACCTCCCGCCCAAGATATGTGGGTGTGTGCCTTTGTGTGTGTGTGTGTGCGTGTGTGTTCACATGTGTGTCTCACCTCCCGCCCAGGATGTGTGTGTGTGCCTTTGTATGTGTGTGCATGTGCGTGTGTGTGTGTGTGTGTGTGTGTGCATATCTATGTGTTTCTTGGTCAGCTTAGGCTGCTTGCTGTGACAAAGTCCCCTGTGCTAGGTGGTGCAAGCCAGAGGAGTTTCTCTTGGTTCTGGGGCAGGAAGTCTGGGGTGAAGGCACTGGCAGACGTGCTGGCTGGTGAGGGCTCACTTCCTGATTTACAGACTGCCGCCTTCTCACTGTCCTCATGTGCCCAGAAGAGCAGAGCAAGCCCACAGAATCCCATTTGCGGGAGCCCCACTCCCACGGCCTCCTCACCTCCCAAAGACCCCACCTCCCAGCACCGTCCCCTTGAGGGTCGACATTTCAACACGTGAACTTGGGGGAAGACAAACATCTAGTCCATAAGAGTGTGTATGTGCAGATGTGTGTTCATGTAGTGTGTATATGTGTGCATGTGCAGCTGTTTGTGTGTGTGTAGATGTGTGTATGTGTAGTTGTGTATGTGTGTATCCATGTGTGTAGGTGTGTGTGTTTGTATATATATGTACATATACATACCTGAACATGCACATGCATGTGTATGTAGCTGTGTAGATGTGTGTGTAGATGTGTATCTAGCTCTGTGTGTAGTTGTGTACATACGTGTGTATCGGTAGCTGTGTGTGTAGCTGTGTATATGCGTATAACTGCATGTGTGTCTATGTGCATGTATGTGTGTATAGGTAGCTGGTGTAGCTGTGTGTGTGTAGCTGTGTATGCATGTGTGTATGTAAGTGTGTACCTAGCTGTGTGTATGTGTAGCTATGTATCTGTGGCTGTGTACATATGTGGGTATGTGTTTATAGGTAGCTGTGCATGTAGCTGTGTATATGTGTGTAACTGTGTGTATAGGTAGCTGTGTGTAGCTGTGTGTGTATAGCTATGTATGCCTGTGTATGTGTAGGTATGTGTCTAGCTGTGTGTATGAGTAGCTATGTATCTGTGTGTAGCTATGTATGTGTGTATGTGTTTATAGGCAGCTGTGTGTGTAGCTGTTTATGTGTATGTATATGTGCGTGTATGTGTGTATAGGTAGCTGTGTGTAGCTGTGTGCGTGTGGCTGTGTGTGTATATGTGTGTATAGGTAGCTGTGTGTAGCTGTGTGTGTGTATATGTGTGTGTATGTGTGTATAGGTAGCTATGTATAGCTGTGCATGTGTAGCTGTGTGTGTGTATATGTATGTGTGTATAGGTAGCTGTGTGTGTAGCTGTGTATGTGTATATGTGTGTGTATGTGTGTATAGGTAGCTGTGTATAGCTGTGCGTGTGTAGCTGTGTGTGCGTGTATGTGTGTATAGGTAGCTGTATGTATAGCTGTGTATGTGCGTGTATGTGTGTATAGGTAGCTGTGTGTGTGGCTGTGTGTGTGGCTGTGTGTATAGGTAGCTGTGTGTAGCTGTGTGTGTGTGGCTGTGTGTGTATTAAACTGCGTGTGTATCTCACATTAAGGCGAGATGCCATAGGAGTCACACTTCTTTGTGTGACAGGGATGTGAGGGATCTGCCTTCCCCCTCAGTGAGTGGACGAAGGCCCAGTTGCTAGGGTGCAAGAGTTCACATGCAGGTGTGACCGGTCTCCGCCAGGACAGTGGTTTTGGACATGGGTGGGGACCGGGGGCTGTCCCTGGTGCTGGTGGACCACACTCTGTGTGGTTCAGGTGCTTCTCTGAACCACACAGAGGAGCTTTGCAGCCCTCTGTCCTCTGCAGCGTCCAGTGGGCCCCCAGTTACCAGGCCAGGTGCAGACGCAGAAGTAGAGCTTGCTCTTGGTGCCCTCCGCCCTGCAGGGTCCTGGCACTGCCCACCTTGGTGGGAGGGTCTCTCCAGAGAGGGGCTGTGCCCCCGACTCCACATCCAGCCTCATCTGTAACCTGCAGGTGCTGGGAGCTTCGGCGTCTCCTTTCTGAATCACAGTGGACAGACTGGGACTTCCACTCCTGACTTGGGAAGAAGGAATAGGGTCTTTGCGTTGGATCACAGAGGGTTCACAGATACCCGGGCCCCCGGGGGCAATTTCAGCCTCGGCTGAACTGGGCTGTGAGGCCCAGTCCAGGCCCTTGGGGCTGATTTCAGCTCTGGCTGAACCAGGCTGGTAACTGTGTCAGGTGCCGCGTGAAGCTGAGACGTGCTTTGAGCCCCACCATGGCAGAGGCCGAGGGAAGGTTTGTCGTACACGCTCAGGGGGACACAGGGCCGCAGGGGTCACTCCAGGGCCTCTTATTGTTAGGATCTGAGGCATTTCGAAGAGGAAGTGAATTAGCTATCTGAAGGGTTTGTGAGCGAGGGACAGGCACGTTCTGTTGAGCACTGCATGGGGCATTGTGCGCTGCCACAGGCAGGGGCAGAGGTCAAGAGACTGGGGGCCTGGGAGAGTTCGGAGGGCAGAGGTCATCCGAGCACAATGGAGCCAGATCAGGCAGCTGCCTTCCTGTTTGGGGCTTTATTAGAATCAAGCATAGCAGGGACTGGGCTGTCCCAGGTGAAGGGGAGGTCATCACGGGGTGTGGGCGCCCCTCAGCTCTGCCTGCTAAGAGGCTCGGCAGCTGTGACGGGCTGGCGGCAGGAGCCCCGAAGGAGGTCAGGAAGGAGCTGGGGAGACGGGGCGCACTCGTGTGACGTCCTGGCCAGGCGAGAACAGTCATGTCAGACAGAATCACGTCACCGAGGGGCCCTGACAGGCCAGATGGGCTCCGTGGAGGGGGCGCTGGGAGGAGGCCAGAGCTGGGCGCTGAGAAGGCACCACAGGAAGCCTCGCGGGCCCGGCGCCCCGGGTTCGCTGGACAGTGAAGCCGCCCTGCCTGGCGTGGCTGAGGTTGGCCAAGACCCAGAAGCAGAAGGTCCTGAAGCCGGTGGCAGTGGCTGTAGGGGAGTGAGGCAGCGGGGCTGTCGCTGTTAAGACACAAAGCCGTGGCTGTCGTGGACCGTGTGAGGCCCGGGTCATCCCAGTGAGGACGTGGATGGGGGCGGGGAACCCACCATTATCTGTTCTACGTAAAAAGCTTCCCTAAACTTAGCAGCTTGAAACAGCCCTATTTCACTGACTTATTCTTCATTTAATGGATCAGTTCTAAAAGGGCTCAGCCAGGCAGTTTTCTTCACTCAGCAGGGCACTGACCGGGTCCTTCACCTGCTGCGTCCTCGCGGGGGTGGGGCCGGGTGTCCCAGGGACTGGGTTCTTCACCCGCTGAGTCCTCGTGGGGGCCGGGCCGGGTGTCCCAGGGCATCCCGGGGGCTGCAGTCCCACACCCCTCTGCCCTGCCCTTTCACACAGCCCGCCCTCCACCCGCAGCTGGGTCTCCTCACAGCAGGTGGGTGCCGTTGTGGAGCCACCTCGCCAATGACTGCGAGGCGGTGAGAGGCAGCAGCAGCGTCCTGAGTCCCAAGCTCACCTCTGCTGAGCCCTGTGGGGCAGCAGGTCGCAAGGCTGGCCCAGGCTCGGGGGAGGGAAGTGGACTTGGTCCGGCCGAGGTGCTGTGGCCCGGAGCCCAGCCTGTGTGACTCAGTCCGTGTTCGTACGGGCCCTTTGGAATTGAATCGCTCAACGGGGAGCGTGGGAGAAGCTACGTCGCACCACAGACGGCACCGGCAGCAGCGCGTTAGGCACGTGCGTACGTGGAATATCACGCGACATTTAAAGTTACGGTCACGTTATTTATAAAGCACAGAAACGGCTTGTTCTCGGCGTTACGAAGGAGCCGGGAGGCGGGCCTCGCTGTCTGCTTCCATGTCCTTGAGGCTAAAAAGCCCAAAGAAAAAGGCTTGGAAGGGAGACGCTGGATGCTGACGTAGCCGTCCCACGGTGGCCAAAATAATGGGTGATTGTCTAAATTCAAGGCAGTTTCATGTACTTTCCAAATCTTTCTTCAAGCAGAACACCTTTCTTTCAAGTAAAAATTATGTTAATGGTGCAGAACATGCGTCTGTTGTGACTGAAACACCGGGTGCTGGTGGGAACCGAGGGACACCCGGAGCACTGGGGGTGTGGAGGCGCCCGCCTGAGTCCTGCCTCTGCTCTCTCCCCAGGCGGGCGGGGACAGGACGGAAGCCCGGTCATCACCTTCCCCGACTACCCGGCCTTCAGCGAGATCCCGGACAAGGAGTTCCAGAATGTCATGACCTACCTCACAGGCATCCCCAGGTACGTGTACTCAGAGGCCAGCGGACACTGTGGGACGAGGCAGAGTCTCTGTGAGGTTTCACCGTGGTGGGGTCCCCGAGACTGTGGGGCACGGCAGAGTCTCTGTGAGGTTTCACCGTGGTGGGGTCCCCGAGACTGTGGGACGAGGCAGAGTCTCTGTGAGGTTTCACTGTGGTGGGGTCCCCGAGACTGTGGGGCACGGCAGAGTCTCTGTGAGGTTTCACCATGGTGGGGTCCCCGAGACTGTGGGGCAGGGCAGAGTCTCTGTGAGGTTTCACCGTGGTGGGGTCCCCGAGACTGTGGGGCAGGGCAGAGTCTCTGTGAGGTTTCACCATGGTGGGGTCCCCGAGACTGTGGGGCAGGGCAGAGTCTCTGTGAGGTTTCACCGTGGTGGGGTCCCCGACACTGTGGGACGAGGCAGAGTCTCTGTGAGGTTTCACCGTGGTGGGGTCCCCGAGACTGTGGGACGAGGCAGAGTCTCTGTGAGGTTTCACCGTGGTGGGGTCCCCGAGACTGTGGGACGAGGCAGAGTCTCTGTGAGTTTTCACTATGGTGGGGTCCCCGAGACTGTGGGATGACTTTGGGTCTGTGGGAGCCATCGCCGAGCTCCCGTGGTTTTGCTGAGGGGTTGCAGGCGTCCCCAAACTTTTTACACGGGGCCAGTTCACTGTCCCTCAGACCGTTGGAGGGCCGCCACATACTGTGCTCCTCTCACTGACCACCAGTGAAAGAGGTGCCCCTTCCTGAAGTGCGGCGGGGGGCCGGATGCATGGCCTCAGGGGGCTGCACGCAGCCTGCGGGCCGTAGTTTGGGGACGCCTGGTTTAGGGCTTTACCTGCACTGTGGCTCCGTGGAGCTCTGTGGTCGGCCTCAGATCTGAGCTGGGCCCCGAATCCAGCTTTTCTGCCCCCCAGCTGCCGCTCTTTCCCGATAGCACCTGGAGGCCCCGTTGCTCAGCAGCTGGGGTCTGACTTAGCCCAGGAACTGCTTTTCCCCCGCGGAGACTGTCACCAGCGCATGCCTGTTTGATCAGCAGAGCTCTGCAGGGCGCGGGCTTCCGCGTTTCTAGTGCCAAGGGGGCCGTCTGCACAGGGGCTGATGCTCACGGGGCAGTGCCCATCCACATGGCCTGTCTGGCGTGGTCAACCCTGGGGGCGTGGCTGCCTCCTGCCCTTTCCAGGAGAGAACTGACCCGAGAGGTGGCTGCTGGGAAATCAGGTCAGCAAAAATGCAGCCTCACACCGGACGCTGCAGACGCTGCTGCTGCTTGGCATCTAGTGAACCCCGCACCAAGTGAAATCAGAAATATCCTTAAATGCGGCATCTGTATCCCTCGTGTGACTTAAGCCGGCGAAACACACACAGAGGAGGCGTTTCACCATTGGTGTGAAAGTGTGGCCGCGGCCGTTCCTGTGAGGGTTCTCCCTCCCTCTTCACAGCGCCCTGGGCCTCGTGACCAGAGCTTGGCGAATCGGCCCGACCTGTTAAACAGCACGTGGGCACTCTGATGAATGTCACCTGACGCCCGCCGCAGTAGCTGGCATCTGTAGTAATGCCTCAGAGTGCGGGCACGGCGGGCTCCTCTGTCCTCTGGGTGGGGTGAGGCGGGAGCGGGGAGCCTCCCTGGTGAGCGTGTCGGGGCAGGGCGTCTTGGGGGGCAGGAAGAAGGGGACTCGTGGCCACCTGTGGTCAAAAGCCTGCGCGTGGCGGAATCCCGGCAGCCCCAAATCACCATGTGCTGGGTTTGTTTTCTGATCTCGGTCTCCTGACTTTTTTGAGAATCTTGCAGCCACCATGTGCCGGGCTCTGCTGGTCTAGCCGAGGGCATGGAGGATGTGCTGGGTCTTGGCCGAGCGGCCACGCCCCTGAAGGGCTGCTGGGACCGGCTTGGCGGGGCCGGGGCTGGGATGCTGCAGACGCTGCCCACGTGTTCCTCCCTGGCCCTCAGTTCCACGGGGGTAGGAAGGCAGTTATTGAGCCCATGTTATAAATGAGGCCGAATGACGGGTGATGTCTGGAGAGAGGGGATGGCTGGGTGTGGGAACGCCCCAGGGCTCAGACCACATGGCCACACCCCGAGGACACAGGTGCCAGGCGTGCGGTGGCCAGAGGGGTGTCCTTGGGGAGGGCGGTGATCCCAGGCCTCCAGCCCTTGTCTGTCGTCTGCACAGACGAAGAGGCTGTGCCCCGGGGACCGGCCGGCCTGACAGGTGCGCCCGGCCCCTGACGGCACCTCCCAGCATGGGGCTAAATGAGATCCCCTGGTGTCCACACTCAGTGATGAACCGTCAGACTCGTTCTCAGCAGGCGGGGCCATGGTCAGCGCTTGCTTCTTGGCGCTGTGAGCTGGGCATCTCCTCCTTGTTGACCCTTTCTGTCTCTTTCGTTGGGGAAACTTCATGGAGTCCCTTAGCTACCCACATCCCTTTTCTGGAGCTGTTTCTAGACTCTTCAGCACTCAAAGGCCATCCACAAATGCCACGAGAGCACGGTATGTGATGCACATGTGCAATCACGTGTGCACGCTGCTGCTCCAGAACCTTCCACAGCATCCTTCTCTGTCTGCTTCTCCTGAGATCCAGGAATGTCCAGATGGGTCCATACACCCGGAGATCAAGACTCGCTCCAGCCCCCTCGGTTGGCAGGTTGCCCGTCTGCGAGCCACAGAGCCTGGTCTGGCTGGGGGCAGCTGGAGCATGGGTCCCATCCTCACTGTGGACATGCGGACCCCGGGTCCTCAGAGGTGGCTGCATGGATCCCCACTGGGCGCCCGTGTATGCAAAGTCAGGTTTTCTGGTGATACTTAGATTTCAGAAAGTGGAAGAAGCCTTCTACGTCACCAAACGGTTTAAAGCACATGCTGGAAATGCCACTCTGTTCAGCCGTGAGCAGCACTGCTCACCGTGCGTCTGTCTCCCCCGCCGGACTCTGTGTGTGTGTCTGAGTGTGTGGTTGTGTGGCGTGTGTGAATGTGTAGTAGCTGAGCGTCTGGGGTGTGTGGTGTGTGTGGTGTGTGTAGTGTGAGCATGTGGTGTGTATCTGTGTGGTATGTGTGGTGTATGTGAGTTGTGTGTTTAGTGTGAGCCTATAATATGTGTGTGGGATGTGTAATGTGAGTGTGTGGCACATGACTGAGTGTATGTGGTATGTGTGGTGTATGTAGTGTGAACGTGTGGCATGTCTGAGTATGTGGTGTGAGTGTGTAATGTGAGCATGTGGTGTGTGTGACGTGTGGCACGTGTGGGGTGTATGTGGTATGTGCGGGGGGTGTGTGTGGTGTGAATGTGTGTAATGTGAGCATGTGGTGTGTGTGTCTCTGTGGGGTGTGTGGTGTGAGTGGGGTGTGCGGGGTATGGCATGTCTGAGAGTGTGGGGTGTGTGGCATGTGTGGTATGTTTGGTGTTAGTGTGTGGGGTGAGCGTATGGGGTGTGTGTGGTATGGCATATGTCTGGGTCTGTGGTCTGTGTGGTGTGTGTGTGGTGTGTGTGTGTATAGTGTGTGTGGTGTGAGTGTGGGGTGTGTGGGGTACGGCGTGTGTCTGGGTGTGTGATGTGTGTGTGGTGTGAGTGCATGAGGTGTGGGGTATGGTGTGTGTCTGAGTGTGTGGGGTGTGTGGTGTATGTGGGTTGTGGGGTACGCAGTGTGTGAGTGTGTGGGGTGTGGGGGGGTTGTGGGTATGCTGTGTGTGTCTGAGTGTGGGGGTGTGTGGGTTATATCTTGTGTGTCTGAGTGTGTGGGGTGTGTGGCATGTGTCGGGTGTATGGAGTGAGTGTGTGGGTTGTGTGTGTGGTGTGTGGGGTGTGTAGGGGGTGTCTGTGGGGTGTGTGAGTGGGGTGTGTGTAGGGTGAGTGTGGGGTGTGTGTATAGGGGTGTGGGAGGGTGCGGGGGGTGTGGCATGTGTGTGGTGTGGGAGTATGAGTGTGTGGTGTGTGGGGGGTGTGTGGTGTATTGGGGATGTGTGTGGGGTGTGAGTGTATGGTGTGTGTGAGGTGTGTGTGGAATGTGAGTGTGGGCTGTGTGGGGTATGTGTGGCATGTGTGTGGGAGGGTGTTGGGTGTGAGTGTGCCGTGCCTGTGGTGTGTGGAGGGTGTGTGTGGTGTGTGGAGGGTATGTGTGGCGTGTGTGGGAGGTGTATGTGGGGTGTGTGGGATGTGAGTATAGTGCGTGTGTGGTGTGTGTATGGTGTGTGTGAGATTTATGGTGTGTGGGGGGTGTGGGGTGTGTGCGTGTTGCGTGTGTGGGGTGTGTGGCATGTGTAGTCTGTGGGGGATGTGGTGTGTGTGATGTGTGTGTAGTGTGTATGTGGCATGTGTGTGGGGTGTGTGGTGTGTGGGTGTGTGTGGTGTGTGTGGAGTGTAGGGGTGTGGGGGTGTGTATGTAGTGTGAGTGTGGGGTGTGTGAGGTGTGTGTGGTGTGTATGGGGTGTGTGGGGGGCGTTTGTGGCATGTGGGGGGTGTGGCGTGTAGGGGGTGTGTGGCTTGAGTGTGGGGTGGGGTGTGTGGTGTGAGTGGGGTGGGGTGTGTGTGGTGAATGTGTGGGGTGTGTGGGGTATGTGGCATGTGTGTGGTGTGAGTGTGGGGTGTGTGGGGCATGTGAGGGGTGTGTGTGGCGTGTGTGTGTAGGGTGAGTGTGAGGTATGTGGCATGTGAGTGGTGTGTGTGGTGAATGCGGAGTGTGGGGTGTGTGGGGTGTGTGTGTGGCATGTGTGAAGGGTGTGTGGGGTGTGAGTGTGGGGTGTGTGTGGCGTGAGTGGTGTATGTGGTGTGAGTGCGTGAGGTGTGTGTGTGGGGTGTGTGTGGCATGTGTGGGGTCTGTGTGGGGTGTGTGGGGAGTGTGAGTGTGGGGTGTGTGTGGCGTGTGAGTGGTGTGTGTGGTGAGTGTGTGGAGTGTGGGGTGTGTGGAGTGTGTGTATGGCATTTGTGGGGGTGTGTGGGGTGTGAGTGTGGGGTGTGTGTGGCGTGAGTGGTGTGTGTGGTGTGAGTGCGTGAGGTGGGTATGT